TGTGTGTCAGGGTGTGTAAATTGGTAAAATATATAAATTATATTGAATTAAGCAGTTGATAAAAGTCTATACAAGCGTAAAAGCCACATCAATTACCTGATAAAATCAGACTACCTCCACTATAATGTCCACAATCAATTTTTCCCCTTAAAATTTTGATAAATGAAGTTGTCAGGGGGATAAGATCACAATTTTGTTTCTTTTTGACTATTTTAACTTTCAGAACTCAGTTCATGAATGCTGCAAATGTGAGCCCAGATAAGATCACCTTGGGCTGTTGATGAGGTAATCATACTGCCATGAGCCCATGTGACCTTGTGGTGGCAAGGAAAGAGGCTGAACACCAAGTCCTAACACAGCTCTGAATTTATACCTCATTACGCTTTGCCAGGCCTCCCAGGAAAAAGAGGGTATCTGTCTTCTAGAAAAACATTAAGTATTATCAAAAGGTCTTCGTTACGACCATGTAGCTCGGGGATGAACAGAGGGACCCTATGGGCCTGGGATCCACCAACAATCATGGCTTGAACGGATTCTCATGAGTTCAGGTATCGTCAAGCTCACCCTATTGGTGTTACTAACAAAACCTGAATTTCAGTTGTGGACTCTGACTATATTTTATTTTTCTGACTGTATTGTAAACTCTGTAAATGCCATTAAGGACTTCCCAGAGGCTTAACGTACATGCTAGAAAGGACATTATTACAGAATGACGTTCTTTTTTTTTAAATTAGTTTTTAAAACATAGAGCATGATAAATAACATACGAAGAATGATAGATTACTCACTCAAGTGATAAATTTCTATTCTGAAAAAGAAAAAAGTATTATACTGGCCTTCCCTAGGCCCAATGGTGGGTAAAAGCCCAGGCTGCCGCACTATGGACAGTCACACTGTGATATATCTCATACCTACACACATGCTTTATGAATGCAAACAGATGCACACATACAAACATATATAGTTACGAGATCCACTACTACTGATAATGAGGAGTTCTGGTAGCATAGTGCCTAAGGCACTTGACTATTAACCAGAAGGCTGGCAGTTCAAACCCGCCAGCACTCCTCGGAAGAAAGGTTGGGCAACCTCCTTTCGTAGTGCTACTGCCTCAGAAACTCAAGGAGGGGTTGCTAGGAGTCAGGTCCAACTCGATGGCACATAACACACACACACACACACACACACCACTGATAACAATTTGGTATCAATGAAAAAAAATCATTTAAAGTCCTTACATTCTATTTCCTGCTGTTAAAACCGTAATAAGGCAACTCCGTCCTTCTATTCAGAGACCACCCAACCTTGACATCTTTCCACCACTTCCGTGGACTTTCACGTCCACTATCTAATTGGAAACTCACTTACTCACTCTGCAATTGAGGAAACAGATAAGGAGTAGATGAATGGCTCACTCACAGTTGGTCGGTCACACGTCAGTGATAAACTCAGAGAACTACAACCTCATTCTCCGGACACCATCCATCCACGCCCCGCCCACTGCTCCCCTCTCCGTCCCTCCATCCGACTGTCTGTCCCAGGCTCTGTACGAGCCAGTGTGGGTTCAGCAGGGACAACAGCAAGCCACTTCCTACTAAAGGAGGCCTGGTGGGCAATGAGGAGGTGCCAGGCTGCAAACCAAAAGGCTGGAGGTTTGAACCCACCCAGTGGCTCTGTGGGAGAAAGCCCTTGTGATCTGCTCCTAGGATCTACAGCCTAGGAGACTCTATGGGGCAGTTCTACTCTGTCACATGGGGTCGTTATGAGTGGGAGTGCACTCGATGGCACGTAACCACCACAATATGTCCTAAAACATGTTTGCAGCTCACTTGAAATCTCAAAACCTCAAAATTCTAAGGTTTCCAGGATATGAGTTTCATTATCCTACAGATGCTAACTCTTTAAGGCTACTGCATATATGAGATTATGCTAATAGGAAAATGTCTGCAGACAAATGGGCATGGGTTTGAACCTAATGCACCCGAAGACAGTATCTTCAGGCAACTTATCTCCTGAAGACCTCTTTTGAAAGATCATGAAATCAGGAGTAATACATACCAGACGACTTGTTCAGAGTCATAAAAAGCGTGGGGGTGGCACCGTTAACCCCCTTCCTCTTTTGTTCTTTGTCATCAAAAAGCAAAGTGTGACAGTGTACAACATTGGCCTTGTGCAACACTCCTCACTACTCAGCAACTCTGCGACAGCAGACCTCACAGGAGGATTGTCTGGGTTTCCCCAGAATCACAGTGACTGCCTTCTGCAGGAGGGAGTGACAGAAGGACAGGCCAGACAGACAGGAAGCCATCTGTTTGGGTCTCTTCATTTCTCTAACACTGTTCCATAGTAGTAAGCAGATAAATGATGATTTGTAGAAGTACTGAGGAAAAGTTAGAGAGAATATATGCATTCTCAAACAGATGAAACATGAAAATAGTTAAGAATGTACCATCAAAAGTGTTTGGACCAACTTCCAGCAGTATAAACCAAAACCCAACCCAACCCACTGCCCTCACGTTGATTCCAACTCACAGTAACCCTGCAGGACAGAGCAGACTGCCCAGAGGGTTTTCAAGGCAGTAAGTCTTTACCGAAGTAGACTGCTTCATCTTTCTCCTGAGCAGTGAATGGTGGGTTTAAACCATGGGCTTCTGGTTAACAGCCGAGTATTTTGACTGCTTTGCCACCAGAGCTCCTGCACATTGGTATAATATTCAATAAAAGAGAAATGGTGATGAATCCAAAAGAGTCTGCTTAACTTGGAATTAGTAAATAGCTCATTTCCAGATAAACATCGACCAATGCAGTTATCCTGGATTCCAATTATTACTGAAAAAGTAGGCTGATGAGAAATACTGGGGTGACATCATTCATCTGTCAAGCATAGAGTATATGAGAGAACTCCAAACTTAGGAACTCAGAGAGAATCCAGGAAGAGAAAGGGAGCAGAAAGGCTGGTTACCCAAATATCAAATGTGCCATACTCAGTGGACCCGGGGATGCAGCCCTGGAGCATTTAGACAGGAGTTTGAAAGGAACAAAGACAGTCAGCAGCAATGAAGAAAATAGTGAGTTACCCGATGGATGATGTATGAGGTTAAAGAATCAAAGTGTTGGACTGCTAATTATTTCAGGAAGTCTTTTGTTGGTAGTGAAGTGCCAGGAGACTGGAAAATGAGGAATCCAGTCTGAAGGTGAAAAGAAAGAGGCGAAGCTGCAAATTACAGACCTGTACTGACGTCTATATTAGGAAATAAAGCTGAGATGATCCTTATGGGTGAGCTTAATGGTACATCTGGAGAAGTACAATTTAATGGCTGTGAGTCAGCACGGGCTTACCCGAAGCCACCACGTCAGAAAAAATTCATTCCTTTTTAGGTGGAGCTGATAATTGGTTTGTGTAAGGCAGAGCCAACAAGACACTGGCAGGGTGTGCTGGGATTTTTGGACCTTTTCATAAAAGGAATTATTGCACAAAATGTCATGACACGTGTCAGGGCATCCAACTAATAAAAGGAGATGAAAGGAACTGGGTTAAAAAGGGAGGGCCAGGATCTTTCGGGACCTTATGGAAGAGTGAATCCTCCAGGGCCGACATCACACGATACTGATGCTTTCAATTAAAGATTTGGTAAACCATTCGATCAGCAGTGGGAATCCACCAGTCCACGAGAGCTGATAGTTAGGGTGGAAAAGGCCACAGCTGTTTTATGCTCTGTGCCTCCACTAAGTAACCGGCTCGGAGGCGGGACATGAAAACAAACCTGACAAAGGAGAGAGTGCTGTGTTCGCCGAGAACCAAGCATCTGCTCGGGAGCCTTACGATGGTGCTGAATTAGTTACTTCAGGAAGGAGCTGGGGCTTGGGCATGAGTCACACCTGGGTCGTCGTCTTTAGAATTGGGGAAGAAGGAACTGCTAAGAAGGCAGCTAAACAACACACCTTAGAAAAAATTAGAAAACCGATCAATAAAAGGCAAAAACCCACACTTGCGAGTCGGTATGACGGGCTACTGTGCTATCACCCTGTGCCACTCAGAGTCTGGCGTAAAGCTGCAATGGGGAAATCTGGACACAGAAACTGATGACCATCACATCAGTGGCACCACAACTTTTTAAAAGTATGACAGCAGAAAAATAAAGCAAACCACAGAATAAGACCCACCACGGCCTCCTCGATTCCTCCTGAGAACAGAACGCCTTTGGAAGAGAGACAAGCATCTCCTCCTGTGTCGACCGGCATGATTTAAACACGAATCAGGCTAAATCTTGGAACCCTTCTCTAAATTTCCTTCATGGTGAGAACCTCCCCAAATAGGTCCCCAAACATAACCCTCATCCCGTTGCTCTCCTCGTTACGAATTCAACACTCAGGGAACACTTGCTCATGGAACATGGAGCCAGGCTACACAAACAGATGGCTCAAGCCCCAGTTTGAGAGCTCTGCTCTTTGCAGAGGCTGACTTCTGGCTGAGCGAGGCCAGAGTCATCGCAGCAGCTACCAGGTCACTGGGACTTCCCCAGCCCTGGGTGACCCCATGCCCTCGCAGGCATGTCCCCAGGCCCTGTGCCGTCCACTGCTGGGGGAGGCAGCATGGTAACCCGCCTTGGCGCCTGTCCACAGAGGCCCACTCACGTACCTTGTCACATTCTTTTCCCCTCCTGGTACTCACTACAAATCTTAGCAATCACCCCAAGCAGGAAGCTCAGGCAGCTGCTACCGTTTCGGTTCAACCGTGTGTCGGCCGGTTGCTATTATTAACTTTGTTGCCCTCAGATGTGACTTTGTGAGATCTGCCTTTGATGAGATAGTGCTCGTTCTCATAGCTGAGTGGCATAAACTGGAACATGCTAACTTTTCAAACATCCTGAGGTGGGTCACTACCACAGACTGTACCACAGTCAGACAGACTACACTCACTCGCAAGCGTGCGCTGGTGGCTGTGACCCCGGGAAGGGAGCCCCTGACAGACGACGTGACCTGCAGCAGCTCAGCCTTACCTGCATGGAGGTACGCCAGGTCCGGGTTCTCGATGTCAGGATGCTGCTCTTTCAGGTGGTTCCGGAACTCCGCGGGGACGTTGGTCCCGTAGTCACACTTGGGACAGTTGTACATCTTGACCCCCTCGTGTTTGCCAGTGTGTAGTATGTGCTTGCGGATATTTTCGGCACAGTTGGACCTACCAAGTGAGAAGGAAGAGTACACCGGATCAAGGTCAGATCAGTAACACTGCATCACAAGTACTGATCTTAGCTAACACCTCCGTGGGCCTCATTCCATCGGCTCCTGCTGTGTGCTGCACTCATGCGACAGTCGACGTTATGACAGGAGCCTGTGAGGCCAACGCTGTCATTACTCTGCACTCATTTCCAGGTTGGTCTTCCACCTCAGCAACGCTACGCAGAAGCAGAAAGACAACGTGCTAGGTTCTTCTATTTTAATCCCAGAGCATCCTGGTACCACTTGAGGGCACTGAAACCAAAAAATCCAAACTCACTGCCGTCGAGTCGGATCCGACTCTTAGCGACCCATCCCTGGGTGTCCGAGGTTGTATCTCTGCGGAAGTAGATTGCCCAACCTTCCTTCTGAGACGTGGCTGGTGGATTTGAACCACCAGCTTTCTGGTTAGCACTCAAATGCCTTAGGCACTATGCTACCAGAGCTCCTAATCCCCGAGAACACACCTATCACTGAGCGGAAGGAGGACAAAAGGCGTCTAGACCACTGTCACCTCCAATGAATTCACAACACCAAGGAAACAATGAAGCTTTGGTGGTTAAATTCCCTCAAAGTAGCTGCATTAAGTAGGCACTAAAGGAATCTGAAGGAGCTCTGGTAGCATAGTGCCTAAGGCATTTGACTGCTAACCAGAAGGCTGGCGGTTCAAACCCACCAGCTACTCCTCGGAAGGAAGATGGGGCAATCTACTTCCATAGTGGTACTGCCTCGGAAACCCAAGGAGGGGTCTCTGTGAGTCGGGTCTGACTCGATGGCACACAACAACAACAACAACAACAACAAAGGAATCTGAAGAAAGAAAGGGAGTCTGAAAATAGCCTCCCCAGCCCAGCCCAGCCGTGCCCCACACCAGGGCAGTCTGCTCAGTGCCGGTGAGCTTCCGTGGTAGTGCAGGCTATCAGTGAGATGGACGGAGCCATGCGGGCGAGGGCCCACCCATCCGTGCCACACGGCCCCTGGAAACAGGAGTGGAAGGCAAAGCCTGAGGAAGCAAGACGCAGGCGTTCTGCGGTCACTGCCTGTGCGGCCAACTGCACTACCTGCTGGCTCACCCATCAACACCTCCCATGGAGAATGCACACCCACACCCATCCTGAAACACACACATGTGCATTCACACACACACAGTCGTTCACTGTTGTTTGTGCCATTCATGGAAGGCAGTGAAAAGGGCCCTTCACAAACCCCAGCAGGGGTGGGGGTTACAGAGAGACAAACACACAAAAACCAGATTTGCTGCAGCAGAACCCATGAAGCAAAAATAAATGCCAGAAGACAGAGCAGTATCTGAGCCAACATTTCCTGTGATGCTGAAGAACAAGCTTCTGTAATACATTCCACGAGAAAAGATCCTGTGACCACACAGGCCAGGGCTGGGCGGTGCCACACGCAGTGCACAGCGTACACTGGGACACAGGGGCCCTAAGAAGATACTTCAGGGGGTCATTGTCTCCTAAAAGCATCTCACGGGCAGGGTCTGTAACTTTCAGTAACACTCTGCTGCCTACTTTCCAGGGACCAACCCAGGGGCTGTCCAGTTGATGACCACTAACGGCAACCCCACGGGTGTCAGGATACACCTGCGCTCCACAGGGCTTCGAAGGAGTGATTTTTTGGTGATAGACTGCCACGCCTTTCCTCTGAGTTTCAAGGAATACACCCTGAGAACTACTGGTCATGAAGGAGAAAACGGTCACACCCCAATTACTTCACAGCAGCTTGTGAAGGCCACAAACGACAGCAGGGCTCCAGACTCTGAGCAGCACACTTCTCTGCAAATATGAACGTCAAACATTTTTTTGCCAAGCACATGACCGACACCTCTCCTCCACACGTTACTCTCATAAGCATGCTACACCAATTTTTCTCACATGTCACTGGCTTCAAGTGACACTAAGAAGATATAATTAAACTATGAAATAAGCAGACCTACCATCACCTCATGGTCTCCCTTAAGATGAGCTGGTAAGGTTGTCTCATTCAATTGTTGAGCTGTAATTATCAACTTAAATCAGTAGAAACAAAGGCACTGTTTCGATTGTTTATTTTCCAATTACCAGGGACTTCCACATTTGATCCATGACTCCCTGACTGTGGCTTATGCCTTTTTTATACAATTATGATCAAGAGTAACATATCTGGACTACTTTTATACACATAAGCAGAGGATTGAAGAAAATGAACAGAATGATACAATTTACCCATGATATGGGAAGCCGGGTGAATGAGGCTAAAGTTCACTTCTGGAAACGTCATAAGACATGTATATTATCTGCACAGGGATGCTATGCCAAAGCATTTTACTTAATTGCATACTTTCTGCACATTATATGTGTGGGCATGTTACATGCATGGGCAAGTAATGTGTGTGGGTGTGTTACATGTGGGCATGTTATTTATATAGGCACATTATTTGCACGGACACAACTTGTGAAGGAATACGGTGACTACACTCTCTTTGGGCATTACAAGAGTGGCATGGGGCGTGACCATTTCAGCACCAAGTCACACAGAGTGGCACTTCTGGGAGTGCTGAAGCCACCAAGTTTTCAGTCTGGCGCTCAACTGTCTACACCACTGAGGGAGTCTGTAGTACACCTCAGCCCTCCTGGTTTAGGCTGGTTACGCATCAAAGAGACAGCACACCCCAAGAAGAGTAGGACTATACAGCCTCTTGAATCTATAAATATCCTTAGAATAGTATCTGTGCAGTGTGTTAGAGAACAACATTAAGAAAACATCTGATGGTTCAGAGCACAAATGAAATGCCCACTTCTGGAGTAATTAAAAGACACAGGAGCATTTTTGAATCCCCCAACTGCTGGGTAAACTGTCCCAAATCACCCTTCTAACACCACGAATCTCCAATTTACCTTCAACAGTCACCTCCTAAATTCACCATTGTTTACTGATGTTGGGGAGTGAAAACTACCAGTGTGGTAAATTACGACTGTCAATTCCGTGCCCCATCTATTTCCTTATGGAAAACCCTAGGCACGAGGAGTCATCAGAGACTATCACCGATCAAGTGAAAACAAAACAGCCCAGGTACAAGCACCTGACATGTGCTCCGTCCTCACACGGGGCCCAGAGACGCCAGCCTCCTAAGATGCAGGCATCTGAACACGTGCTCCGTCCTCACACAGGGCCCCGAGACATCTGAATGCGTGCTCTGTCCTCACACGGGGCCCAGAGACACCAGGCTGCCTATGAAGCACACATGTGAACGCGTGCTCCGTCCTCACACGGGGCCCAGAAACTTAAAGCTTCCTAAGAGCTAGGGAGGGAAGGAAGACACGACTTTGTAAACAGAAGAATAGTTTGTTCTCAAAGGGTGTGTCTTTGATAAAAATAAGCCAAATCTCTTAGAACCTAAATAGTAAACAAAACCTAACAATCAAGAGACAATCAGTGAGGCAAGTGTGAAGCAGGCATGGGCGTAGGGCAGGAGAGAGGCTTCCTTCCATTTGAAAACAAAACAAGAAATAAGTGGTATGGAACCTGAGATATTTAAAATGTAGAAAGGACCATTACACATATACATACATAAATACATATACACAGTTTTAAATGTTTTAAAATATATTCAAAAGATAAATCCTCTGTTTTAAATATATAAATATGGATTGTGCAGATGTCTTTATACTTTATTGTACAGTGTTTTATCTATGCTATTTATATGTCCCATGTTCATGTATTTTCTATGTATAATACACATGCATATGTATTTATAGTTCAATCTTTTCCGCGCACGCAGGGAAATGCAAACATGGAAACCAGAAGGAAGAAGACACAGCGGCTATCTACAAGGACAATGTTGTACTCACAGGCTCTTGTGCGTAATAGTGCTTTTCTGTGTTTTCTATTTCAGCTTTTTCTTCTGTTATTCTTGTGTAATTTACACAACATAGTATTTTTTTAAAAATCAGGACAAAATGGGACCTTTCCCACCTACAAAATCAAACTTTTCTAGTCCAAGACTGAAAAATAAAAGTTGTAACATGTATGTCAGTGTGGCTTGAAGCAGAATAAAGTAGGTGCAAACTTAATTGCATACATACCACAACAGCATGTAAGACACAGCTGAACATGTCTAGCTGTGTCACAAGATTCAGCAAAAAATGAAAGACAGGGCCTTCTGCTAAGTAACTCCGTATGACAGTCAGCCCACAAACAGGACAAGGAGCTGAAATGGAACACTGATGTGGGACCAGCCAGAAACAGGAAGTGCCGAAGAAAGAGGGTGCTCTAAGAGAATATTTCCCACAGGTCCTAGCAGCACTGCCAGGGAAGCCAACAAGGCACACAGTGAGGAGAAGCGGGCAACCCAATGGTATCCTCAGTGTGACACCGAGCTGTCAGGGGAAGCCACAAGGCACTGTCGCCTGGCGCACTGTCCAAGGATCTGTAACGGAAATGGAAGACAGACGACGACTACTCTGGCCAAAAGCTGAGATTCCCTTGAAACAGACAGCACTCAGGTTCAAGGGCTCAGAGACCCCCAGGCGCTCCCCCTCACTGTTCTTGTTCCTGCAGCCCTCCACCCAAGGTGAGGGTCACACCTGGAAGAGACAGAACTCCACACCAAGGAAAAGGTGTCCTGGTTTTCTCAGTCTAACCCAGTTAGGTTGGAGCCATGAGTCTATCTGGGCAGAGGCAGCTAAAAGCCCATGCGTCAGAAAACAGACAAAGGGAAAAGTTCATCAAAGACAGCCCTACTGAAATCTCTGGTATGAGGGGTAGCGGTGAGCATGCCCACGGCGCAGGACTAAGGAGCAACCTCAGAGGCTTCACACCAAAGAGCAATGAGAATTCACTCAAGTAGCGTGGGAACCAGTCACCAAAAACAAAGAAACAAGCGTGAACCAACAACAAGCTCCATGGGGAAGGGGAGCACACGTCCATATCCAGAGGGGCCACAGTACCATACCTAAAATGTCC